CTGTCCCCCAGCCAAGCTGGCCACGGCCGTGGAGGGCTTTGAGCCGGAGCAGCAGAAGCAGAAGCAGAGCTACTTCGTGCGCCTGGGCTCTCTGTCCTCCAAGGTGCAGCACCGAGCACTCCAGCACTCCCTGGGCAAACTGCAGAGCGCCCGCCAAAGCAGCCAGGAGCTGCTGGCCCAGCTCCAGAGCACCCTGGACCTGGTAGGAGCCAGCCCTGTGTCCCCCGTGCCACCCTGGGGTGTCCCCTGGTGGGYCCCCACCCAGCAGGGCTGTGCCCCTCTCTGTCCCAGGTGGAGCAGCTGAAGCAGGGCATGGACCAGAGGCTGCAGGGAGGGCAGGAGAAGCTGCAGCAGCTGTGGCTGGAGTGGAGCAAGAAACAGCCAGGAGGTGGCAAGGACCAGGTGCCACCAGAGGTAGGAGGAGGRCAGGGGACAGTCCCTGGGGTGTCCCGGGGTGTCCCCCAGCCCTCACACCCCATATCCCCCTCGCAGACGGTGGAGTCGGGCACGCTGACCATGCTGCAGGGCCTGAGCCAGCARCTGCAGAGCTCCTGCCAGCCCTTGCTGTCCAGCCTGCAGGGCCTCCCCGCCGGCATCCAGGACACGGCRGGGCAGGTCCGGCAAAACGTGGAGGAGCTGCGGGCAGGGCTGGCTTCTGTCACCTCCCTGCAGGATGTGACGGGCCCCGTGCTGGCCCGAGCCCGCACCCACGCCACCAAAGCCCGGCAGCTGATGGATGAGCTGGTGGAGCATGTGGCCTTCAACACCCCCCTGACGTGGCTGGTGGGACCCTTTGCCCCCTCGGGCCAGCGCCCCGTGGAGATGGAGTAGCAATTCCAGGCTGCTTCACCCCAAAAACCTCRTTAGGAGCCTCTGCTAACAGCCCCCAGCCCCCCCTCACCCCCTGCCTCTGTGGGGACCCTCCTGCCAGCCCCAGCTCTGTCCCTTGTCCCCTTGCTGGGGACCTGCAGTAACGTGCCTTGGCTGCCCCAAGTGCCTGTGAGGGTCCCCTGTGTCCTCGGTGCCTTCAACCCCTTGGCCTTGTAGGGTCAAAACAGCACAAGAAACAATAAATTCTGGTTAGTTTTGCACTGGACTGAGGTTTCTTCAGGGGTGGGAGGGGGGAAATGGGGCTCTGGAGGAACAATCCCACCCCAAGAGCTGGAAATCCCATATCCTGCCCCCAATTATTCATCCAGCCCTCCCAGCCTGTCCCTGCCCCCGTGGGACATGGGATGGGAGGAGAGGACCTGGCAGTGACAGCAGCAGTGGGGTCTTGGTCACATCCCACCAGTAGGGCAAGGGRCAGTCGGGATTTTTTGGGCTTTATTTGGGTCTTGTTTATGGGGCGAGTGTGAAATCGGCCCTGGAAAAAGAAAAAACCRAAATGTCCCCAAGGGCAGAGTTACTGCAGCCTCCGAGGGGGAGTCGGGGGCACAAAGAGGAGGAGGTGGCGCCGGGTGGAGCCGGGAATTCTTTATTGGACACGGACAAAAGCTCTGGAATGTTGCAAAAGAGCAAAGAAACCAACACGGAGCTGCTGCCCAGCACGGGCAGGASGGTGCCAGGGTCAGCCCCTCCTTTTTGGGACAGGACAGACCCTTTTTTATTCTGTTTGTACCCCAAAAAATTGGTGCCCAGAACTGCTGCCACCCCTGGGGCAGAGGGATCCGGCTCCAGCAGCTGCCTCTGGATGGAGAGAGGATGATGATGGTGGGGAAAGGGGCTTGGAGCAGCCCCTGAGTGCATGATCCTGGTCCAGAGGGAATTTGGGGACTCATGGGGGGATTTTCCAGCCCTGCCCTCACCCCAGCCAGCGATGCCTCGAGAAAGAGACACCGGGGTTCCTCGTGTTTTTCATTAGAAAACCCTTTATATTCATTTCATGTCGGTTGAAATCACAAGAAATTAGGTAGGAGGGAAAAAAATAAAACCAAAAACAAAACGAAAAAAAAAAAAAAAATTAAAAACCAGGAGAAGGACAAATACAAACACCTGCACATTCCCCCTACAGGTGGTTCCACCGCAGTTATGGGACACGGGACAAGACCAAGGACATCGGCTACGGTGGGACTTAGTGAAGTGACTCAGGCAGGGACGAGGCACAGACTGCTCTCCCGTCACAG